AAAAAAAAAAAAAGCAATGAGCTCTGCTTGCCGTCTGAACTCTGCCTCCGAATGTCCAGAGCGAGCAGCTCCCTCCTCACGTCCTCTCAGCGGCCCTGCGGGTTGGTGTCGCCCACACGGTGCTCCTGCAGGGGCTGAGGAAGGCCTCTCCACGACAGGATCCGCATCGCGGCCCCATGGCGGGGTCCACAGCACGCGGGCCTCCCGGGCCCCTTAGCAAGCAGGGTGTGACGCTGAGCGAGGGGTGCAGGAGGTTTCCCCACAGCGGCGCGAGGAGCCCGCGCCACCCCACCCCGCAGAGCGGCCAGGAAACCCCTCGCTCGGCTCTTGGAATGAAATTGCCCCGTGCCGACGTCTTATCGCACCACACCCGGCGCCCTGGCCCCCACTCCCGCGACTTTGGCCGGGGCGTCTCCGCGGCCCAGCCCACCTTCCGCGTCTCCTAGGAGACGTAAACTGTCCCTGCCTGCTCTCCCGCGCCTGTGCCGCTGTCCTCCACCACCAACGACCCACGGCGCTGGGCTGCTCTGCCTGTCCGTGTGTATCCGCGCCGCAGCCGGCTCCGGGAGGGCAGGGCCACACCTTTGCTGCCCTTGTGCCCTCTGCTTCTGACCTAGGTCAAGACCAGGGTGCGGACTCAGGGGACGAATGAATGAATGAAGTGAGTGAATGAACGAACGAACGAACCAACAAGCTGGGGACGCTGGGCAGTCCTCACGGTCACTATGAAACTATCGTCCACTCTCCCCGCAGGCAGTTAAACTTTTCCTTAATCGTCTACCTTATAAAGCTGGGACCGGGCTGGGCGTGGTGGCACACGTCTGTAATCCCAGCACTCGGGAGGCTGAGGCAGGAGGATTGTTGTGAGTTCGAGACCAGTCTGGGCTACAAAGTGAGCTCAAGGCCAGCCTGAACTGCATAGTGAGACCGTCTCAAAAAGACAAAAAATAAAAAATAAAAATAAAGCCGGGACCAATCTCGGATACCATCGCTGCCAATCAGCGGGCATCTGGAGGCTGGGGCTCAGCCTTCGGGGTGGGGAGCACTGGGCGTGTCCTGAAAAGCACCCAGCACCTTGGCACCCCGGGCGGGACTTAGGCACCCTCGGGATCAGTAGCCTGCCCCAGAGCGCGGTGAACCCTCGGCCTAAGCTTCCTACTCTGGAAGGTTCACAGCCTCCTTCTTGCCGTGAAGGGCGCAGCGCTGCTGCACACCAGAGCTCCCGCCTCTGCACAAAACAGCTCTCCCATCTGCGCGGGCCGCGCTGTCTGCAGACTGTCGCCGGAGGAGGCATTGCGCGCCGCGCCCGGCTGCCAGCGCCCAGCCGCTGCTCCCCGCCCGCCCTGTGCGCGTCGGAGATGCTTATCAGCAGCGGGTGCGGCCCGGGCACCTCCCTCCTCCTCTCCCTCCGCTCCCTGCTGCTGGCCCAAGACCGGGCAGAAAGCAAAGGGCGAGATGCGCTCGGCCTTGGGGGTCCGCGGGAGAGACCCCTAGGGAGCTCGGCTGAGTGTCTGCGGGGAGCAGGATGGGGAGAGGCCGCCTGGGGGTGAAGGAAAGAGGACAGGACGTGCCGAGGGGCAGGGGCCGGAGCTCCCGGGAGGCCGGGTGGGTGAGGGGTCTCGGGAGTGGTAGCAAAATCCCAGCGCAGCCAGGAGGAGAGCACAGGAATGCAAACGCTTCAGCCCTGTGTGGTGGCGCAGGCCTGTAATCCCAGCACTCGGGAGGCTGAGGCAGGAGGATGACTGCGAGATCCAGGCCAGTCTCGGCTACAAAGTGAGCTCAAGGCCAGCCTGAACTGCATAGAAGACCCTGTCTCAAAAAGACAAAAGCAAAACAAAAAAAGGAATGCAAATGCTTCAGGACGCGCTCTCTCGGCCCTGTCCTCCACTGACCACTGGATTAGTCTCCAGGGCCCAGCTTTCTCCTCTGTCTTTTTTTGGGGAAGGGAGTGAGACAGGGTCTCGCTATGTAGCCCAGGCTGGCCTCGAACTCACTATGATTTTCTTGCCTCTGACACCGAGTGCTGGGACCGCAGGTGTATGCCACCGCGCCTGGCCTGTTTTTCTTGATCTTTCACAGAGTGTCAGCTCTCCTGAACTCGGCCACTCCAGCGAGTTTCTGGGAAATTTCACTTCTCCTTTCTAACTCGAGTTTCACTCACTTTTTATATACTCATCATTTCCCTGTTCTCTCTGGCCTTCCCTGGCAACCCTATTCTCCTATTAAAAGAGGGACTCCAGGAGCTGGGAGCGGTGTTGCACACTCATAGTCCTAGCACCTCGGAGGCTGAGGCAGGAGGATTGTACTGAGTTCGAGGCCAGCCTGGGCTACACATGAGGCCCTGTCTCAAAAACAAAACAAAACAAAAAAATAGTGAGTCTAAATTTTTAAATTTATTTTTTGTTTTTTTGTTTTTCTTCCGGTACCAGGAATCGAACTCACAACCTTGCGCTTGCCAGGCAGGTGCTTTGCCACTGAGCTAAATCCCTAGCCCCTTTAATTTAAATTTTTAAAAATTATTTTTCTACCAACTTCTTTTATGTTGTAATTAATACACACTTTCAATACATAATCACGGTCATAGTGGGGAGTTGGTATGAAGCCATACCTCCCTTAGTCTTCTGTACTTCCCCTCCCCTTCCCTTTCCCTCCCTCCCTAGATCCCGTTCTGTCTGCAAAAGGTCTACTTCCTGCTTCCTGTCATTTACCTTATTTATTTATTTATTCATT